GAAGCAACAGAAAACACTCTCTGTTTTCCAAACAACACGCTTTGCTTGGTCTGTCTTCTTTGCTCGGAGCTTTTCCTCTAAACTATTAGCCTTTGCCCTCTGCACTTCTAAACAACCTCCTAGCTTTCCCATACGCTTGTTGTTTGTACCTTTGCAATCCCTAATTTGTTGTTCAGTAGATTGCTGGTTGACAAATTTCTTGCATAGTGCTCACATCCATGGCTTCTGGTCTTCCTGCATCGAGCTCGCTTGAAAGATCCACATCAACTCTATCCTCCGCTGCCATGGAACTAAAGAAACCACTATAGAGAAAAGAGTTTTTCCATTCATTGGCACTCACTCTTGCATTTTACCTGTCTTAATTTATGTCTAGAAGTTCCTATGAACTTTCAACAACCTTTGTTGCACATTCTGTCCGAACCTTCTCTACATTGTACATATGCATCTAGCACGATACTCTTGCGTACCCATCCATGCTTTTGTACCTCTATGCTTGGGCTCAGTATGCTCCTCTACAACTATTGTTCTATTCGTCCACATACCACTAGTATCCACTCGTATATAGTAACTCTAATTGCCACAACATTTTTTTGAGCTTGTACTAGTTGCCAATCATCTGTCACGTCGATGATTGGACTTTTGATTGAACTAGGTTTTCCGATCAACTCTGGAGATAATCATCTGTAATCCTCTGATTGCCCCAAACCAATCCTAATCTCTCTTTATCCACCACTTGATCAAGCTTGATCTCTTTTGGTCTTAAATGATCTATCTCGATCTATATTTGGCTGTTCAATCTGGTCAGAATCTGCTTATTCTAACCTCTTAGTGAATTTGCAACGTTCTACAATATCTGGCAACCCTCTCCAACTATTGAAGATGACGAACTCTCATATTTTGGCTATCTTCAAAAACCATTTAGAATCCCACTATTCTAACCTCGCGGTTACGTTCGAAATGACCCATTTAGTTAGGACCAACCTTCACTACACTTCCGGGGGCTCATTGAAAATATCTTCGAAAGTTGGGCCACACCATAATTTTTGAAAAAATCTGGGCCTCATTGCAATTTTCCAAAACTCCAAGAATATTCCGTTAACAGAGAGAACATTTTGTTTGACATCATCGCCCACGGACCCCTCTTAAGTCGAATCTAGATCGGGTTAGACCTGCTTGCCTACTACTAATGACGTCATCCATTGCGTCAGGGCTGCATTATCCTCCATTAAAAAAAATTAATTTTTAAGGATGCAACCAAGTAGTACCACAACAATTTATCCAATCTGCCAGAGCCACACCTTGTGGTATATTTTCGTCAACTAATATTTAAACACTATGACTTTGGTGAACAATGATCTTCTTCAATCTCTTGCTGCGCGTATGGCACATGTTCAAGAGTGGTTTTCACTCGCCATTTTCAGAGGATGCGTAAGGTACACCCTAGTTTTCGTTTGGGTTAATTTTTCTGGGTCTAGATTCATCTCGTCGAGACCTTCCTCCTAGTATGCTCAAAACTTGATTTCGAGCAACTTAATTTCTGGACCGTTGGAGAAAAACGCTCTGTTTTTCCTCACCTTGCTCTGATACCAATTATTGGGGATCTGGGATCCTACCCAAGACCCTCTAAAAATCATACCAAGTAGAAAAACAACACACACATACTCAAAGAGGCAATATTTAACGTGACTCGGCCTCAATGCCTATGTCCATGGAAGAGTAACTGTAGATTCACTATAAATAGAGATTACAAAGAGATTTATACAATGGAGGAAGAGACTCTTTCACTCAACTCCCACTGAGCTCCCCCTCTCACACAAAGGGACTCTTTGTCTCACTCTCTCTACATTTTCCTTGGTTTCTCATTCTCACTCTGTTCTCTTTTCCTCTATTTATACACCGAGGAGAAAAGAAGTTAGCCAGTTCTCTTCTGCAAATCACTCTAGATTTGTGGTGTCAAATTCAACGCTCTCGCATGCTCTGCACTCCGCCAAATTCAATGTCGCCATTCTTGACTTCTTCATCCAAGCTCTAACTTGGTTTCACACGAGCAGAAGAGAAAGAATATCACCCCTCACATGGGGTGATATCACAACACTATAGATATATATATATATATATTCACCAGAATCAAATAGATCAAACATTTCACTCAAAATATATATAGATATATATTCGCTCTCAACAAATGATCAACCACTAAAATCAAAACCAATGAAATTTGATCCAGAATAACAACAAGAGCAGCCTCCCTTAGATCCTCCGAGCAACAATGCTTCGATTGACGAATCAAAAAGAATCGAAGACTCCCCTGTGACTGAAGTCTTCGTCACTGATCTTTACGTCCCCTGTGATTCGATTGCTGGTCCGCGCAGAGAAAGAATGATCGTCTTCTTTAGGACTATATCTGAGAAGTGATGAGAGATGGACTGTACCGATATACAGACACGAGAGAGAGAGAGCTGATAACGAAGATGAGAGAGAGAGAGAGAAAGAGACAGAGACAGAGACAGAGAGAGAACCTTAGGGTCCAAAATATGAAACTTAGTCTGTGTATGATATATATATATATATATATATGGATATTTTGATCATTTTGACTAAGTAAATCTTTATAAATAAAGTATTTTAACGTATGAATTTTTAACAAAATAAAATTTAAATATAAATTTACGAACCAAGCGTCCTATTTTAAATTAATATTAATGGTTCCTGAAGTAATATATTATCCCTTGTGTTCTTAAAATTTGAAACTTGAAAAAATTGAAAGTGGCATATAGTTAGGGGTGGGCAATGGTTTAACCGATCTGCACAATCCGCCCAAACCGACCCTATCCGCACAAATCCGACCCTACCCGCATGCATAAATAGGGCGGGTGCGGGTGTATTTTTTCATATAAAATCGGGTTCAGGTCAGAGCCAACTCTATCTGTGCAAATCCGAAACCCGCCCGCATAATCCGCAGATTATTTTTAAAATTAAAAAAATATATATCTTCACATGTGGAATTCATTTTTTGATCCTCTCATTTTTTTATCCTCCTTTCTCTCTCTTTCTCTCTCTCTCTCTCTCTCTCTCTCTCTCTCTTCCCTCCTCCCAATCGTCGTCACTACCACCATCTCTCAACCCTTGCTTGTTGTCTCTCTCATCTACTTCCCATCGCCATCTCTCTCCTCTCCTCTACCATCGTCGTCGTCTCTCGCAGATCAACCTTACTCCATTGCCGTCGTCTCTCCATTCCCTCATCTTCTCCCTGTCGCAATGTCGTCGTCACCCAATCGCAAACCAGATCTGGAAGATTTATTGCCAAAAAAAAAAAAGTTTCACTGCACGAACGAAGGTACCCAGATCTAGAATCCTTCTCCTTTGCTTGTAGATTTCAGGTCAGCAAATTCATCTCAATGGTTGTCCTCTGCTTTGTTTAAAGGGAAATTTTATGTATTTGAAATTTGCTTATACTTTGTTTCGTCTTTTGATTTGAACAAACACTTTTGGAGTAAGGTCTAGACACTTAGGCCTCTTGGGGTTTTATTTTCATTCTTGGTTTCTTGTTAAGATCAACTTGTATTAGCTGGATTGTGCAATGGCCCTCATGGCCCGTCGTTTAATTTGTGAAAGATTGATGAGAAAACAATGACGTTCAGTGAGATAGCAATCATGCCTCAGGACTTGCTTTATTGTTTGTTTGATAGTGATGGGTTTGTAACTTTCTGCTTCTTTTATTTAATAAAAGAAAATGCTTTTGATTGTGTTGTGTTGTGGCCAAGATGATATAGATCCAGATAATATGACTTCTGAGGGGCAAGTTAATAGATATACACTACAAATTTTTTTTCATTTTATTGCGTGAATTTCATACTAAATTCAAAGCAAAAAGTTATAAATATTTCAGTCTAATTTTTGTCCTATACAGAACCTCTAACTGTAGTTGAAGCACAAAAATAAAATTTCAAAAAAAAAAAATTTTAATTCACAAACCGCCCGCATCCGCCCGCGAAACCGCATGACCTACCCGTTCAATCCGCAACCCGCACAGCGGGTGAATGCAATTCCATTTTTTCCCAACCTGCATCCCATCAGATGGGTCAAACTCGTCATCCGAACTGCACGAAACTGATCCGTGAACACCGCTACATATAGTGGGTTCTCCCATTCACATCATTAAAAAGAAAATGAAAAAAAAAAAAAAAAAAAAAAAAAAAAGCGAAGGGCATAATATAAAAATAAATGTCTTTAAGAAAAAAAAGTGTATTAATCATGGAACCTAAATGATTGTTTCTCTTTAATGATGCCATCTTGGGATCTGTTAAATCTAACCTTAAAACCTACCTAATTTTGCAGCTTGATTAGATATACATCTCAGAACGTTTACTTTTGAATTTTGGCATGCGAGGGGAATTGATGGTTGGTGGATCATCATATTTTATCTATGAATTATGAAAAAAATTAGAGTAAATTATAAACATATTCCTTGAAATTTATTGAAAATACGAATTGTTCCTAGTGATTTGAAAAATTATAAATACTTTCCTGTCAGAATTTTTTATTTAACAGAATTAATTAAAAAAGTAAAATTTATAATTGTTTACCTATACAAGAATAAAATTATTTGCATTCTTAATTGAAATAAAATTTTAATATTATTAAAAATTGTTAATTAACTTGATGATTATTAATAAAATGACTTATTTGTTATACAATTAAAAATTAGTAGGCAAAATGTAAATTTTAAAATCACAGAGAGTAATTTATAATTTAAATAAATCTCAGTAATGTTTTCTAATTTACCCAAAAAATTATGGGTGATACACCAATAAATCTCAAATTAACAACTTATACACTATTTAGTCCTAAAAGTTTTTTTATAGACTGAAAGGTCTCATTATAAAGAAATTGACCATAAAGGGCATATACATCAAACATCATCATTATCAAAACAACATCATCATCATCAAAACAACATCAAACATTATAGCATCATTATGAAAACAACATCAAACATCATCATCAAAACAACATCAAACATCACAACATCATCATCAAACAACATCAAACATCATCATCAAAACATCAACTACATCACCGTCACTAAAAAAACATTATCAAAATTCAGCAACATCATAAAAACACCATCAAACATCGTCAACTACATCACCAACATCACTAAAAAAAATCATCAAACATCAACAAAAACCAACGACATCAAACATTAACACAACAACAACATCAATCTTTTTCTTTTTTCTTTGTGGGTTTAGGTTAAAACCCAAAAAGAAGAACCCAAAAAGGCAAAGAGAGCCGAGATTTGCATTCATGACAAACAGTGAGGTTGATCACTTGGATGATGGGTATAGATGGAGGAAGTACGGCCAAAAAGCTGTGAAAAATAGCCCCTTTCCAAGGTATAATACCATCACAGATTTTTTAATGCTTTGGTCTCCATTTTTGTTTGATATATGATTTTCTTAATAGTCCCTCTGAGATCGGAACATCAGCAACGCGAGATCGGAACATCAACATCAGCGATCGTGAGATCGGAACATCAACATCGCAACACGTCTGCAACATCAACGCCATGATCAACATCGCAACATCAGCGCCGTGAGATCGAAACATCAGTGCCGTGAGATCTCCCTCTCTTTCAGAATTGCTGATCAATTCGCCGGAAAACAATTACACAACGATTCTATTCCTTGCGCAACAAGATCTCTGCAGATCTAATTCAAAAAAGGTAACTATATATATATATGTATGTATTTGTGTATCTTTCTTCTTTTGTTGAATCTGGACGTTTACATGTTCCTTTTTTTTTCTTTTTTTTTTTTTGTGGGTTTGGTTCGAAATCGATTTCTACGTATTGGGTTAATTTAGGTCTGATCTATTCGTTGGGATTGTAAGAAGTTAGGGTTTCAAAGGTTTATGGATTGATTGGTTTGTGTTACTTCTGATGTTCACCATGTTGATGATGTTGCTATTGTTCATGATGATGTTCACGATGTAAAAACCCTAGGCGTTCTGATGATGTTTGATGATTTTGCTAATGTTTTGATGATGTTGATAATGCATGTTTGATGTTGTTTTAATGATGATGTTTGATGTTATTTTGATGATGATGTATAAATGGAACTAAATAGTGTATAAGAAAACTTTTAAGACTAAAGGATTCAACTTTTCAGAAAATAAGATTTATGGATAAATTTTCCAAAAATTATGTTTAAATTTTAAATTTTTAGCTGCAAATTTAAATTGATCAGGAACTTCAATATTAATGTCTTGTCTAATCGGCTCAACAATCATTGAGCAACTAAGCGTTCGATTAAGACTGAATGGGGAAAACCTTATTTTTAAGGAATAATTAATTACTTACAAGTTCTATTTTGTGAGATTGTGTCAGGGTAAGTTTTTTTTTTTTTCTTTTTTTAAAAGATTCTTTTTTCTAATTATTTTTATTGTTAGACAATTTTTCCTTCAATTAAAAAGATAAACGACCCACATTTGTTGATGCAAAAGCTTGATGATGTGATAAAATTTTATCTTTTTTGTATTTTAAACTTTAAAATATAGAACGAATCGCAATTACAATCACATTTTCACATTTTCATGTTATCTTCGATCTCATTTTCCATATTGGTTTGATATATATTGCTAATCAGCAAACAATGCTAGCATCACATAAACCAAATATAAAATGTGTCACACAAAACACATAGATAAATTTAGAGGTGGTTTGGAATGTTCTAAATAAGTGTATTTTTGACTTTTTATAAAAAAGATGTATAGAAAAATAGAGAGGAGATATTAATTGATGTGACCCAAAAAAGATAAAAAGATGGACTAAAATAGTGTATGCCAAACAACCCCTTAGAGCATCTCCAGCAATCCTCACCAAATTAACTACCCAAAATTTCACTTTATTAATTTAGCTAATCCTTTTTTCAATACACATTCCAGCAATACTCTTTACTTTAACTATCCCCTTTAAAATATTATTTCTTTCAACTTTACTCATATATATATATATATATATTAATATATAAATTTGTAAATAGTTTGATCATCATTAATACATAGGAAAAAAGTAATAAAAAAATACATAGCACATGAACAGTTGCTAGCTTCAGGTAGCTAGCAACTGTTGCTTGGATCAAATTGTAGAAGGATTTGATGAGGCTGCTGGAGGTCTCTTTTTGGGCTTTGGCTTGCTACTTTGGTTGAAAATAGGATATAGCAAGCCTCTTGGAGATGCTCTAACAGCCAAGTTGCACTCCCAAGGCCAACCACCCACGCCTATGAAACTGAATATTTTATTCGCCTAACTCAAGTTCAACAGCCCAAGACCTACGCTGCTACACTGCTTCACACCCATGCTACTACACACCTGCTACACTGCTACACTCCCATGCTACACAGCTACAACACTACTACACTCCAGACAACACTGTTACACTCCCATGCTGTTACACACCTGCTGCTTTTCTAATTATTTTTTTTTTTAGACAATTTTTCCTTCAATTTAAACGATAAACGACCCACATGTGTTGATGCAAAAGCTTGATGATGTGATAAAATTTTACCTTTTTTGTATTTTAAACTTTAAAATATAGAACGAATCGCAATTACAATCACATTTTCACATTTTCACATTTTCATGTTATCTTCGATCTCATTTTCCATATTGGTTTGATATATATTGCTAATCAGCAAACAATGCTAGCATCACATAAACCAAATATAAAATGTGTCACACAAAGCACATAGATAAATTTAGAGGTGGTTTGGAATGTTCTAAATAAGTGTATTTTTTGACTTTTTATAAAAAGATGTATAGAAAAATAGAGAGGAGATATTAATTGATGTGACCCAAAAAAGATAAAAAGATGGACTAAAATAGTATATGCCAAACAACCCCTTAATATTATAAAATTTGTTGATAGAGCTCACTTCCCAAAAATTCAATTCCATTCATTTGTCTTCTGTGTCTAATTATTTGTTTATATTTGCATTTTCAAACTTAATAATAGCCAATTACTCAGATTTTGGCACATAATTCTTTATATTCAAAATTTATTTAATTCTTTATTTAATGTACTACTCACTGTATAATCATATTTTGAAATTTTTATATTTTTAAGATCCGAACAATAAAGATATTAAGGCCTCGTTTGGGAACAGGCTAATTTAGTAACTTTTTGGCTATTTGGCTAAAAAGATAGGTAAAAAAAACTTGTATGTTTGGGATGACTTTTTGGCTAATTACGAAAAGATGTGCAAAAAGTAGAGAAAAAAGAGAATCTTTGACTTTTTGGTATGGGTTGTTGGCTTTTTGGCTAATTTAGTAACTTTTTGGCTAATTGGCTAAAATAGCCTCTTGCCAAACGAGGCCTAAGTAGAGATATCCTTGGCTCCCTCAAGAGGTCTCAGTGTGTCCCAGTTTAATTATGTGTTGTATGTTTTAGAAATGACACAATAATACATGATGATGATGAAACAAAATCAAATGGGAGCGGCAAAGTTAGATGATTCATTTTGTGTTGCACAACTAGAATCATTGTGAATTTGTGTGGCTATGATGTTGTCATATGAAAATCTAAGACATGCCAAGCTTTTCCAATCTTTACCATCACACACCCAACTTGTGGGTCCATTCATTTCCAAGCCACAATCATCATAAACATTAACATTAAAATAAAATATACTTTGTCACTTTAGTTTTTAAATTTAAATTTTGTTAATTTTATTTTGTGTTAAATTAGTCTAAATTCAAATGATTTTGTCAAAATCATTAGCCGAATAATAAGAATATTTCTCTGCTCATGTTATTTTGGCTCTCAAAAGTTCAAATTTATTAAATTCCTCCCTAAATAGTGATGAAAAGATGAATCAAACGAATATGTAAATTGTAGTTTTTTTTTTAACAGGATTTAAACTGTAGTTTGAAATTAAATAAATTTGACTCGAGATTGTTTTGGATATGATTTTTAAGTTGATTTTTTTGTTTATTTTAAAAAGACGTGTGCAAAAGTAAAAAAGTAATGTGACCCAAATAAATCAGTAAGTTAATAAGCTGACTTTTTTAGATATCCGCAAAACAACCTCAATCTGAAAACTTATAAATCAAATTAACAAAATTAAAACTTAAAAAATAAAAACAATACGAAATGTATACTTTTTAAGGACATAAATTTATCCTAAAAAACATGATGATGAGCATTAGCATGATAGTATTGTGCATATCTTTTTCTGGTGAATCAAACCATAAAATTAACATATAAAATTAAACCATATGGGAACATCCATCAATTCCTCACATCCCCACATCAAAAGACAACAATCATCACATTCATCCTCTCTCCTCGCTTTAAGCCTCTCTCTCCTAGTGAGAGAGAAAGCTATTGAATCTAACAAAAACCTAAAAGATGAAAAATCATTCAAACACACAAAGCCTTTTCTTAATATATGGCATCAATAGTTTTTTTTTTTTTTTTTTTTTTTAATGGCAAAGAAGGACTGTGGTTAAAAGTTGAGGTTGTGGTGGTCAAACGCTTTCGGTTGACTGAGGGAGTAGAGGCTGAGCAAGGGAGGACTTGATGTGGGTTGTTGTTCGGTTGTTATCGTGGTCTGCAGGGGACTGAATCACGGCCTTTTGGGCTGAAAACTTCCTTTCTTCGTTTTTACCCCATAGCACAAAGTACAACCCAGCTATAATCAACACTGCGCCAATAATCCTGTACATCGCACCAGCAAAAGCATGTCTTCATTAAAGATTCCAAAACAAAATATGATATACTCTACATTAAAGATTCATGTATTTCGTAAGGGTAATGTTATAATTCTAAAAATTTTACAAAAAGTTTTATCAAATGTCTCACAATAATGTGGAATCTACATGGAACTCACATGGTGTGGGTCTCACATTTGTGTGAGACATTTGATTGAAATTTTGGTAAAATTTTTGAGATATCTACCATTTTTCATTTCAAAATGAGTTACGTTAGGAATCTCAAATAATTTATTAAATTTTTTACCAAACATCTCACACACACATGTAAGTTTGTGTGAGTTTCACACCCATGTGAGAGGTTTGGTGTAAAATTTAATAAATTATTTAAGGTCTATCACTTTCCTTTCAGAATTCTTAAGTTATATTTTTTGTGATAAAAATTATATTTTTTTGTATGTTTTGCAGTGCACAATTAATTATTTTATAAAAATTTTAAAACTAGTTTGGTGGGAAAAAAAAATCATTATTTTTATATATTTTCTCTTTTTTCAATAAAAATAAAATTTTAAAATATCCTCGTAGTGTTTGTTTTTATTAAATAAATTTCTATAAAAAAAAATGTTAACCGTAAGACTCGAATTCAAATATCACATATATATGGGTTGGTTTGGGAAGTGGGTTAGTTTTTTGACTTTTTTACTTTTTTAGCTATTTTAGCTTGGGTTAAAAAGCTTGGTTTGAGAAAGGATTTTTTAGCTTTTTTAACTTTTTTTTGTGAGAGAAGAGTGTAATGATTATGAGTTAGATGTGATGTTTTGTTTTTCAAAAAAGTCAAAAAAATCCCTAACCCAACTTGCCTAACGGAGGCATAACAGTATGAAAACGTCTTATCTAATAGGCCAAACATCCCATGAGTTGCATAACAATTGTTAATGACTAAAATACCCTTTTAAACATAAGGTTTTTAGGGTCATTTAGAGAGTATGAGGTCAAATCATCCATGGCAGGCTAATGAACGGTTGGGGATAATTTCTGGCAAATGGGGGCTTTGAAATGCATTATAATGATTGATGAGAGAGAGAGAGAGAGAGAGAGAGAGAGTTTGTGTGTGTGTATACCCTCCCAAGTAGAACTCTTCGCCTAAAAGGACGGAAGCCATAAGAGCGACAACAAGAGTCTGAACAGGTTGATACAAAGCCACGAACACTGGGCCACCCCTGTCTATGCACCATATCTGTACTGCGAATGCTATCCCTGATGCCACCACTCCCTGCATCATCATCATTAATTAATTAAATAATTAAATAAAAACTACCCTCTTCTCCTAACTAACTACACAATCTATCATATAGACTTCTTACACATATATCATCACCATAAACCAATAATAATTAAGATAAAAAAGAATAAATGTCCTAATTGGTCAACATTTATCATTCGTATAAAATGTGATGAGTTAGTGACTAAAATATTAAAGTTTGGTTTCTTTGTAATGATTTCTTACAGTGATCTTGTTGTATTTTCATTTTCATAACAGCAAAACATGTCAAGTAAGTACATAATTAAACTATTTGAGTTGAAATTGAATGAAATTGACATTAAAACCACACAGCTTAAAATGACATAATTTGTTTTAAACGTAAGTTGTTTGTTGGATTACCAGACCATTGCATGAGGGTCCATTTCAAAAGACTCTTAATCCTAAAAATTTCATTAGAAAGTGACCAAATTGAATCATAAAAGCATAATAAGAATGGTTAAAAACTTTATTCTCTACTCTTTATTACGGCTGTAAATTAATTGAATTGTTCATAAATACTAGAGCTCAGCTCGTTAAAGACTCATTCAGCTCGGTTTGTTTGATATTTAAACAATTTCGAGCCCAAATTGTGAGCTCGTTTGATAATTGAGCCGAGCTCGAGATCAAGAAGACTTGACTCAAAAAAGCTAGCAAGCTAAGCATATATATATATATATATCATATATTATTATATTCATCTTAAAATTTAGACTCAGTAATTATTTAATATATGTGAAACAAAACGAAATCATATATGTTGAAAACTAATAGAGTCAAAACTCCATACAGTCCTTAAGAAAAATGAATAAATGGAAGAAGTAAAGATTTTTTTATTTGTTTTTTTTTAATTTTTATAAATTGGCTTGTCATATTTTATAGGATTATTTACATAGAGATCCCTTAAATTATTGAAAAGTATTATTTTAAATCTCTAAATTTTAAAAGTGAACAAATGAATTCCATAAACTATTGAGAAGTATCACTTTGTCTCCCTTAAACTATAAAAACGTACAAATAGATCTTTTAAATTATTGTTGTGTTTTACTTTAACCCTTTCCGTTAAGGGTCCAATTTATAGGTTTTCATAATTTAGGAACATTTGTATGTTTTTATCGTTTAGAGAATAAAGTGATATTTTTTAATAGTTTAAAAAGTCAAAATGATATTTTTTAATGATTTAAGAATATTAGTGTAAATAACCCTATTCCATATGCATGAACTTGGTGAGGTCTAACCCCACTGGTGGTGAGTCTAGTTGTTTCAAAGGTGAGTTGTCCATTTGTTTGGGACAAAGTTAAATTTACCCTTTTTTATTTCACATGCATTTCGCAAACTTTAAAACAGTCCCTGAAATATACGGATCCTGATAGGTCATTTTCATTCACAACTCATAAAAAAGAAATCGCAAATCAAAAAAGAGTGCCAAACTAGAGGAATGATTTAACAAAATAAAAAATAAATAAATTAAAATAAAATCAACATGCTTAATTGATTCATTCATGGAATTAAGCAAGCATGCATCACATTTATATACACGTTATACACACACACACACATATATATATATATATATATATATCATCATGATTGTTCCGTAAGAACCAACAATTGACTCACTGAGTTGACTTAGTTTTTAAACTCGTGCAAATCATAAAGCTAAGCAACAAAGATTAATATGTTAATATTATATTCGGGTATTGTATGATATGACACTTCACATAATAAATACAAAATATTAATAGTATAGGTGTTTTTTAGTTAAAAAATAGGATACAATAGTATGATTAATATCATGACACGTCAAATAGTATTCAAATGTGATTATTTTAATATTACGCTTCTATTAATTTTGTGTAAAAGTAACTCGGTTGGCTTATGAAGGGGTAGAATCGTCATGTTACATTTAGCAAATGTATTCAACCATGTCATATGTGTCACTTCATTTGTCTAGCTCTAATGGTGAGAGATCATATATATATATATATACTTATATATCTCCAAATATTTCTGCCCTCATGTCTCAAATATCTACGATTATTAAATATCTTTCGAGATTTATGTTCTTTGAGACTTTTACATTATTCAATGATTATAAATATTGTGAGACATGAGAACAAAGGATATTTGGAAATAAAAAAATTTTGCTCACTTCATATCTTCCGTGGTGAGTTTTCAAATAACTCATCAAATTTCTTTCCACACACATATTTTATACTAGGATTTTTTACCTATAGCTAAAATTTTGTCTCAAAAATTTTTCAAATTAATATATAAACTCAAAACTCAGAAGTAATAATGAATTGGTTGAATTAAAGTGAGTCACTCACCGCATAGAAGACGCTAAAGAGCTCTTCACCAGAGTGAACAAGCCAAGCTTGTGGATCTCTCTCAAGGAACGCAGCAATAACTAAAAATTGAATAACACCAAAGAAACACTGATAAGAGGTGACAGAGAGCCGAGCTGGATACTTTTTCAAGATCGGAGCCTGCAACACGAGCCAGCCCGCCCATGACAAGCAATGACCCACCAAAAAGAGGCAACCCAGTGTCCAATTCTTTCCCCTGGCATCTCCAAGTGCGAGCAATGCCGGTGAACCTTGTTGCAACGAGGGAGTTGGACTATATATGGTTGGACCCTTGTACAGTGTGATCACTGATGCTCCTGTGATGCACAGGACTGTTCCCACCACCTTGGACACCCCGTCTTTTCTATCTAATCGCACTTGTTCAATCCTGATCGATCGAAGTGAAATACATATTAGCTTTGAGATAAAAAAAAATTAAATCAATAGGAACTAAAAAAGTAAGTGTAAAAATGTTAAAATACAAAGTAAAATTTTTACTCTAATACTGTGTTTGGTTGGAAGATTTGATGAGGAATTTGGAAAGGAAAATAGAAAAAGTAGGTGAAATGTGAATAAAGCATGCCTAAATTTCACCTAGTTTCCCACACTTATTCCCTTTCTCTTTTCAAATCCCTTCTCAAATCCCCCACCAAACACAACATAACACAACATAAATCATATTTTTAACCTGCATCAAAAGAATGAACCACTTGCTTTTTATGATTACTTTCTCTATTTCATGTGTGAATCAATTCAAGGCACTTTCTTCTTTATTACTTTTTTTAAAAAATTGACAGAAAAACTTTTATATTTTCAATTGATGTGGCAATAGTGTACTAGCAAATTAGGAAAAATGACCTTACCTTTTTTAAGTGCATATCATAATAAACTATATAAATATTTAATTTAATTGAAAAGTTTGAACTTGCCGGAGTAGTGCAGCCATGAGAAAAGTAATGGCAGGAACTGAGTTCTGAATGGCAGAAGCAAAGGTGGGAGATGTGTTGTCTAATCCCAGCAGGTAGAATCCTTGATTCGCTGTTATTCTGTATTCCATGAAACAAAATCAACAAAATTAAGAAATTAATTCTTATGCACTGAGAATAACATTATTAATTCCTGTTTCTTGCAATTTATTTTTAGTTAAAAGTTTATAAATTATAAATTAGATCTAAACTCTTTTTTTTTTTTTTTCTTTTAAACTTTAAGATAATTAACTCTCTTTTTTCATTTGATTTAGATTATTTTTATCACACATCATAAGTCAAAATAAACAATTTTGAAATTATATAATTTCAAATTAGGAAAAGTGAAGGGATTCTCCTTAATCGACTGTTAAACTGTAAAGTTACTTATTACACGTCTTATTTTGACAATATAAATAGAATGTTTGGTCAAATTTTATGCGTAGGTCATTTATAAAATATTTAAATTAATCCAATATATATAATTATATAATTTTATTATATTTATTTTCAAAAAAAAAAAAAAAACTAAATGAAAAGTACATTTTTGGTTTTTTTTTTTTGGTCACAATAAAACCCACAACAATAACACCCCTCTGTCTAATCGTGGATTGGAGATTCAGAAAAATTTACAGCTGTCCATTTAAACTTGGGCAAACAGTTATAGGATCCTTTAACCATGTCATATATGGATCATTTCATATATATATATAATTCTTTAAACATACCCTACAACTGCGAGGAGGAAGAACTGAACAAGAAAAGACAGAGTAATCGGTGGCCTCTCCTTCCTGATCAAATAAGAATGAGCATAGCATGTTATACTAATTTATTAGTTGCTTCAATCACCAAAAACTACATACATATTTCTAAGAAACATTTCATATATATATTTAAATCGATCACAGAACTGGACACAACATGTTATAGAGTTGTGTTTAGTTCTGTGATCAAATTCTGATAGTTTTAATTAACTTGTCGGAACCTACTTTTCAAGAAAATATGCGAAGGGCAAGAGGAGAATGAGAGCGAGAACGTTTCGGTAGACAGGAAATACAATCTTGCTAATGCCCATGTTAAGGGCAGCTCTGGAGACCACATGGAAACCAGCATACCCAAACTGCAAGGCCAACATGGCCAAGTGTAGTTGGAGCCTCTCTGGCATAGAACACCACATTTTAGGAGTGGCTGAGCCACTGGTATCTGCCATTGAAACAAGCCTAGCAGAGAACACACACACTATAAGCTAAGCTAAGCCAAGCCAAGGTTGAAAATGAAAAAAATGCAGAGAAAGAGAATTGGAAGGTGAGAGTTTTGGTAGTGGTAAGGCAAAGAGTTTGAGAGATTTAAATATATATAGTGGGAAAAGAGTAAGGGTGAGAAAGAGAGAAAGAGAGAGTGGAGGGTACGTGGGTCCTAGAAGAGGAGAGGAGAGGCCTAAAAAGACGTTATGTCAACTGTTGGTAGCCTTTCAAATGTTTTTAGTTGTCTTCCACATTCTTTTCTCTTCCAACCTCCCCCCTCCTCCTAGCTGACAAGACAACCCCCCATCGCACTACTCATACATGAAAAATAAAGTGAGAGAGAGGTCGGTAATGATTCAATATTTTTTAGTAAATGCACATTTTGAGGTCGTCTCATTGCGTAAGTCTTATTTGGAAAAGTTTATTTCAATTGTAAGGACTTAAATGGGTACATATAAATTGACCTAAGATATCCTATATAATAAAAAAAAAATTAATATTTTAAAAATCTTATATCATATAGATATTCACATATTTAAATCAAAAATCAAGTTAATCAGACATTTATATCACATTTTTGAAAGTTTTTATTCCGTTGGTTTAAATTATATAGATATTCACTTGATATTTAACGCAAATTATTTAATTAATCGAATATCGATATTAATATGATCAAATAAAAAATCATACAAAATAATATATGATTTATTTTTAAAGTTATATTTTTCATTGTTTTTTTAATGATTTTGTGATATAATCTTGTGGTTATCAATATTTAATCAATTTTTTTTTTTTATATATATAAATAATGTACTTGATAAGCTCTATAAATTGTAACATTTGAATTGTTGCGTTGAGGTTGAGTGAGTTCATAGAAAGCAAACTACACCGTAGATGGATTGGAAAGAAGCATGCTGCTTCAATTAATGATGTAGCAGAAAATTTTAGGAGTGAAATTAGGAGTGTGCATGGTGTGATGTGCTGCAGTTTGGGAGTGAAATTATAAATTAAATCGTAAATGATAGATTGACAAATAATTATATTGTAGTTTGGACAGTTTTAATTTATTAATTGATTGAAGAATAATCTTAAACAATTATTAAGTATTTGTATAATACTAAATATTTTATATATATATAACACTAACTAATTTTACATAATATTTTTTTATATATATATATTTTTTTTTTGATCAACAAAGAAAAAGAAACCTTATTGATGAGATGAGCAAAAACACGCAACAATATACAATATTTTTTTTATATATAACACTAGTTTGTACCAAATTCTACATCTTAAGTCTCTATCACACTAATTTTTACTTTAATATTTTATAAGTGGTAAAAAAATCTATATATATTAACTATAAGAGAGTGGGACGTTTTCAAAAACAAATTATAAATTTTAAATCATAAATCAAATTAACTCATAATTAGTGAGTGAATTTGTACGATTTTAACATATTGGACAGTAATAATATATTTTGGTTAAGTAACTAAAAAAAAGAAGAAGAAACTGCCTTCTACTATTTTATTTTATTTTATTTATTTATTTATTTATTTAGAATACTCTTCAAAAACCAACTAATAATTTTTGGAGAGAGAGAGAGAAAGAGGAGTGTAATATGTTGAGGGGTTCTGTTTGGCAGCATGCCATTAATGATGGATAATTGAGGGGAGAGAGAGAGAGGGGGGGGTGATGCGATGACTATAGAGAGCCGTCATCGTTAGATAGCGCGCACGAGGGGGGAGGGTGGTCACTCCATGCGACCACAACCACCCATGAAAAAGCTATTCAAACCCCACCACCACTTCCTCGCTAGCTACCTTTTCATTTTTTTTTGTATTTTTCATTCCATAGAGCGTATTTATATTATATTTGATTGGTATATATGCTTTATATATATTAATGGATTATAAAATACAAATACTTTAGTTCACAAGGGCCGTACGAGTACCCCCACACACATATTAGATATATTGTGAATTTTATGATACTCCTAATAATGTGCATCATAGTCTCGGTTTTAATTTTTATGGTTTTCAGTAGGGGTGTGCGCGGTGCGGTTCGGACGATTTGAGAGTAAAATTACAAATCAAATGGCGGGTTAGCGGATTGGCGGATTAACAAATTGCGGTTTGGGCGGTTTTTAGCGAATTGGCAGATTGAAGAATATTCTAACTAATTATCATACATTTGTATAATATGTAACACTAATTTGTATAATATTTTTTAGATATATAACACAAAGTAATTTTGCATAATATGTTTCATATATATAACCACTAATTTGTAATAAATTTCATATAAATCTTTTTCACACTCATTTTCACATTGATATTTCATTAAAAGTTAAAAAATATATATGTATTAACTTTAGCGGAGCGGAGCGGTTCGGTTGGCGGATTATAAATTTTAAAATTTAAACCGCGGTTAGCGGTTAGAGTGGTGCGGATTGATGCGGATCGGTGCGGTTTTAGCGGATTGGGCGGTATTTTGCACGGCCCTAGTTTTCAGTTTTAATTTTTTTTTTGGTATCCATTCTTTTGAGGGATCAAGAGATCCTGCTGTGTCTTAGTAACAGTAGGGTGCTTCAATGGGGAGTTTTCTCGAGTTTTTTTATTTCTATTTTTATAATTTAAACTATTCATATTATAAAATTTATTGAGTAGATTATTTATGCAAAAAATTAAATTTATTAAACAACTATAGCTTAATAACAAAAGCACATTTGTTTTTTTTAAAATAAATGTTAACATGATCTTAATAATTTTTTAAAAATAATTAGAATCTGATCACATGGTTACAATTTTTGATTAACTTAATTTTTTGTATGAATGATAAACTTGATGAATCGTACAATATGAACAGTTCAAATTATCGAAAAAGATTTGAGAAAAATTCCCATGAGAGCACCAGAGCACCCTGTTGTGACTATGATAGGATCCCCCGATCCCCTTTTGAGGATGTATACCGTAACATTATCCTACATACATATACCATATGTTTGTATTAATTGCACTAAAAATGTGATGGGGTAATAATTTACCATACAAAAATGACTTAGACCCTCAGCGGGGGTGACCCCACCACCCCCACTGATTTTTGATTGGCTAAAATTTTTTTATTTTATTTTATTTTTTGGGAGTCTTCCTCTCACTGCCCTCCACATGAATTTTTTTTATTTTATTTTATTTTTTGGGAGGGTCTTCCTTTCACTGCCCCCCACGTGTATGTAGGGGTGCTCGGGGTCACCCCCACTAGGGTATGGGGTACTGCTGGTTACCATATTGGTTCAAGTTTCTGTACTTGTCTGTGGAATTTACCTTATAGATTTATTTAGAAGTTTTCTCTCATATTCTAGGATTTTCTTGGTATTAATTATGTGTTTTATTGTAGTATCAAACATTAATAAAGGGAAAAAAAAAAGGTAGTAGAATAATAATTCACAAATATAATTTATGTACAAAATTATTATATATAATGATTAGATTTTTTGTAATTATTTCAAATCAAAATAATCATTATTGTAGTTCATACTTTTAAAATTGTAACTCTTACATCATTTTGAATGACTTTTTTTTTTTTATTATTACAAAAAATTACGTTCATAGATCATTTTCGTAATCTAGTAATATGTGAGACTTACACTAGTTATTTCCTCATCAGTTTGGGTCTCTCATTTTCTTAATATTGGCATTAGCAGAATTTCGAAGAAATGGGATTCTTTTGTTAAGCTTCTTGAAGAGGGTCAAAGTAAGTTAGTAAGGTTGGACTGAGTCGAACACGTGTATGGCCTTCAGTTGAGCATAGGGGTGGCCTTGGGTCGAGCCATTGGGCCCCTGGGAGTGTGAGCAAGCAAGTCCTAAATTAGGCGCAAGACTAAGGCGAGGCACACTAAGCCACTTTTGGATACACCCAAAATAAGTAGTTTATTAATTTATTTAGGTTATATTATCTTTTTTTATTTTTTTTATACGTTTTGTAATAAATAAATAAAAATCAAAAAATAAGCAATACACAAAACAAACCTAACACAGCCTTGCCTAAATCGGGCCAAGTTCCTTACCTAGCAAGACTAATTACGGATCAAGCAAGACTTAGGTTGATATTGGCTAAGATTTATAAGTAGGCTAGATAAGGCTGGCCAATCTAGAGGCACAAGTCCTATGAAGGTTAGAGATTTTATGAGATTAGCACGAGACCCTTCATTAACATGAGATAAAAAATTGTCTAGCAGATTTTTACATAATAGAATATCAGTCCCCCTTGACTAGAGATGATCCAACTAGAGGGACACGTGAGATCATAGTTTTAAAACCGGCCGCTACGCTACGTATCAGCCGATATGTATCGAAAAAATAGGATATCGCGACGGATACAGGCCGGTACACAGCTGAGATTGAAAATCGCAGGCGTATCGGCTGAGTCCCGGTGCGTATCGGTCTATAACCGTTACACAAGCCGCGACAGGCCGATACTTACCGGTTCGGACCGGTACGGAAAAGAAAAAGCTGAAAAAACTGTGAAATGATTTTTAAAATTTTACCGCGGCGACACCCAATTCCCGATACGTACCGATCAATACCGCCGATACCGATACTCCGCGATCGATTCCGTTACGTTACCCGATACTGCAATTTAGAACCATGCGCGAGATAGTTATCCTCAAATGGTTCTTGGAGCAAGAAAGGGAATTTATAAAAGAAAAATGTCTCGTAGCTCAAATTTTGTGGCTCAAAAGTAGCTCAAATAGCCAAAACGACGTCGTTTTGGCTATTTTTATGTTATTCTGTACTCAAAACGACGTCGTTTTGGCTACTTGAGCCACTTTTGAGCCACAAAATTTGAACTACGTAGCATTGTCGTATATAAAAAGATATGCTTCGTTCTCTTGAGGGGAATACATACTCTAAACCCTTATTCTCTGCATTTCCTTGGTCTTTGACTTCTCATTTTCATTCACCGACTTTATCATCAAAAGGGCTTCTTCGGCCAAACACCTGGCCGAACAACAATAACGATGCACTCCATGGTACAAACTGCAGTTCCTGGATCGTTTTGTGAGATCATGAACCTTCAATTCCATTTGTA